ATTCTAACTACTCTGCGCGTTTTGCGACCACCGCAATGTGACTGCAGCTCTAGGAGACAGCAGCATAGTACACAGCTCCTAACGGTGAAATTCAAATTGACCTTTCGGTCTCACACCACTTGACCGTTCTGCATTTTATACAGCTGAGCATACCCTTCTTCTTGGAGAATCTCCCTCTTCGGCCCTGGTACCATCTTCTCAAATTGTACCAAGCACGCTTGCCTTCTCCCGCATCCTCTGCAAGGTTACTGCCTGTACCTCCACGCTCCTCTAGATTCTCGGGTCCATGTAAACAAGGCCAGGTCCTTCTTGGTCAGCAGAACGCAGCACTGTGTGCCTTGATCACAAATAGTACGGCAAACTACGAATGAGAGGACACCGTGCCAAGCACTTTCATTCCCTCAGTCCTCAGAACCGAAATGAAAACTACAATATCCCTTTTACAGATGAGGAAGGAGGTCAGAATGTAAGCTCCACAAGGACCAGGTCCCACTCCAGTTTCACCAGGACCTAAAACAGCAGCCAGTCACACGTGCAAAGTCCACATCCAAGGCAGACGGCAGTCTCTGGGCCCCCGAATCTGGTGCAGTCAGAAGGCTGTCGCCTCCCCCCAGGACCTCTTAGATGCCCCTACTTTACAGCTGAGGAGTGGGCCCACAAAACGAATATAGCTTGCCTTAAGTCACACTCAGCAGCCACTCACTGAGACTACCCTACAGATCTGACAGCCTCTGGGCCACTGTGCTGAACTCATCAATCCAAAGGAACACTGCTCCTTGTCAGAGGAAACTCTGCCAAATGTTATCACTCATGACTTCTAATTTCAAACCGGCTTCGGCTGCTTTGGCAGCACCGACTCACCACCCTCCGCTCGCCTGCCTTCTCTCAGGGTGGGGCTCGCTCCCGACCGTACATCCTTCACGCTGGCGAGCCCGAGCCCCCCGAACAGCCAACTGCCTGTCCGACAGCACCATCTGTCAGTCCCCACCCCTCAAGCTCTTCACGTCTAAACAGAACTTGCTTTCCCACCGGAGCTCCTTTTCCTGAACTCCTTTCATCACGTGGCAGCCCCATCATCCACTCTTCCCCCCGGCGTGGGGACTGAAACACCAGTCCTGGCCCATTCTCTCCTTCAGCAGGAGGGTGTGTCCGGGCACACGTCCGGAGGAGAACGGCCCCGTTCCAAAGTGAGTGAACTATGACTAACTTCAGCAAAAGCAGTGTAGCCATATACCATATAAAACACTGCTGAGAGAAATGAAAGGGGAAACTAAATGGAGAGACAGTCTATGTTTGCAGATTGAAGATTCACTATTGTTAACATGACAATCTTCCTGAACCCATGTATAGATTCAAAAGAATCCCTATAAAAATCTCAGTAGTCTTTTTTGCAGAAACTAATTAGCAGATCCTAAACTCTATACAGAAATGCAAAGGACCCAGGATAGCCAAATATGAAAAATTAACATTTCTATCTGCGCATATGAAAAATTATGAAGTTGGAGAATGTACACTTAGCAGATTTCAGAACTTAAACTCCTGCACATGCGCTCCAGTGACTTCCGACAGAGGTGCAATGTGGGAAAAGTCTTTTTTTAGCACATGGTGCCAAGGTCACCAGCTGTCCTCTAGCATTTATATCCTCACTTCATCCTTTATATAAAAATTAATTCAAAATGGCTCACGGTCCTAAGAGCTGAAAGTATAAAACTTTCAGAATAAGACATAGGAGAAAAAGTCTTTGTGACCTCAACTTAGGCAGAGAAATACAGTACTAAAAAAGACAGTCTATACAAGAAAACTAATAAATTAGATTTCATTAAAATAAAAAATATTTGCATTTCAAAAGACACTATTAAATTATAGACAAGTCATGGGATAGGAGAAATTACTTGCAAATCATTTCTTATAAAGGACTTGCAACCAGAATATATTAACAACTCTTCCTACTTGATAATAAAACAATCAATTAAAAAGAACAAAAATGTAAACAGACATTTCACCAAAGGGCAAATACAACTGGCCCACAGCATATGAAAAGATGCCAACGGCATTAGTTATCAGAGAAATACAAACCGAAGCCACAGTAAGACCCACTTCACATCCACTAGGATGGCTATAGCAACAAGTTTAGAAAGTCAGAAATCCCAAGTGTTAGCAAGGATGTGAAAAACTAGAGCCCTCCTGCACTGTGGGTAGGAGGTGGGGAATGGTATAGCTGCTTTGGGAAAGTCGCAAAGTTTCTTAAAAAGTTAAACATACATCCACATAAAAATTTGTACACAATTGGCCACAATAGGATGTGAAAACAATTCATGTACCAATGGGATAACACAATGTGGTGCAGCAGTACAACAGAATACTAGACAGTAATAAAAAGGAAAGAGACTGCTGATACGTACAAAAGCACTGCTAAGAAAGAAGCGAAATGCAAAAAAATGCATTCTCTGGTTCCATTTACAGAGTGCGCAGAGAGAGCGCATCAGGACAAAAGCGGATCCGTGGTTGCCCGAGGCTCGAAGTAGGTACAATGCAAACGGGAACATGGTCTTTTTGGGGTGCTGGAAATGTTCTGGTATTAGTTGTGATGACTGCACTACTACAAAAAAATAAACAGAAACTTAAAGTGGGTGAGTTTCATGACAGGTCCGCTGCACTTCCTTAAATCAGGTCACTATTACTTAACTAGCTTTTCTTTGGGCCTTGGTTTTCTCAGTGTAAGCTGGGAATTACAGTATGTACTGCTGAGTTCCCGTGAGAACCAGAGTTGACACAGGAAAATGCCGAGCACAGCAACGGACATGCAAGCATTCAGGCAGCTTAGCTCTTTTTATTAGTGGGTTACTCAGATGACTGTGTCAAGTCTGGCCAGTCTCACTTAGTAGTTAGTTCTCAATCACCTTTCCTTCACCACTTCTTCCCTGGCCTTAAGCTCCGCAGTGACCCTGGCCTTGGGTCTCCCCGGCTCCCTCTGGCCCCCACCTCACACCGGTTCTCCACTGCCGCAGGGACCATGAGGAAACAGAAACGTGACCGTGGCAGAACCCACCTTCAGGGTGAGGCACTCCTTTGGCCCTCCATGACCTGGTCTCTGTGGAGTTCACCCTCAGAAGTTGTGTAGGAAACGGCAATCTTAGTAAGGTTCCACCTGCTTTTGAAGGACTACTGGAAGCAGCAAATAAGTGGAAGAGGATCGTGCTACCTTGCATTCACACTACGACTGGGAACAGTTCATTGACATGTGCGCAGATAGCTAGTGAGATTAAATCTTTCCCGTGAAAAATTTCCTGGCTTTCCTGACATCAGACTTTCTAAGCTTTGCAACTTGATCTGTGAAGGATTTTTGAGCTATCCCAAAATGGGAATATAAGATGGGGGGGGGGGTAACAAAGAACTTAATGATTAAAGTTTAAATTATGGAGGAAAATACAATTATTTGATGTTTAAATTCCATACTAGATATTATGATGTAAGCATTCTGGGGTGGGACCCAACTAGACAAAATCTTTAAAAGTTCACTGGAAAAAAAGCAGCAAATGTCAAGATTCACTCTTAAGAAATCTAAAAACTTCCTTTGTTTCTTAGCCTTCTTATCTATAAGTTGGTGGTAATGATAAGTACATTTATAGATCAAAATAAAAATCTTTCTAAATGTAAAATGTATAAAAAATGTTAAATGGATTTTTTTTCATTCTCAATACCTTAGGTCATCTTTAAAGTTTGAGCCTTTCTACTTGGTCAATAAGCACTAATACCCACAGTAGATTTAGAAATTTAAGATCTACTTAAGGACAATTTAAAATAAAATTTAAGAATCCCCAAATCCTAACCATAGTAAGAGCAAAGTGCAAACACACCATCAAATACACATTAAAATAGAGGTGTGACTCTAAGAGCTGAGAAAAACCACCTTATGCTCAGAAGAGGAAGCTGCTGGTCTCCTGTGAGCAAAGCCACATCTGGAGACAGCGCGTTCCACTCCAGTCATGGAGATGAAAGCTGCCGACTGCAGAGGTGCTGCACGGCACCGTCTCTGTGCTTATATTACACTGGGCACCAGAGTCTCAGCTGACTACAGCTGTGAGAGTCAGCTTCACAGTTACGCTCAGTATGACACAAGCTAGAACTGTCTTAAAATGGAAAAAAAATTACATCCTATAAAAATTTGTTTTTCTTCTCCAGAAATGTCCTGACTCAATCTCTTTCCATTCTTTCAAGAAACTTATCATGGATAAGCTGATCTGACTTTGTATGTACCTCCCAGCTTTAAGAAGTTATTCGTTTTTAAATAATCCTTTAAAAAATAAAAACCTAGGGCTGGGGATTTAGCTCAGCGGCACAGCACCTGCCTGGCAAGCGCGAGGTCATGAGTTTGATTCCCGTTACAGGAAAAAAATAAAAAATAAAAACCTACAAGAGTCAGTTTTAAAAGCTTTTGAGAACTTTGATCTAGTTTCTTTAAGTTCTCAAGTAAATCATAAAAATAAAAACCATTCCAAAATGCTTATCATGTTGGGCGAAACTCAGGAAGAAAAGATTGAACCAATGAAAAAATAGACTATGGGCATCCAGTTACAGAGTAAAATCACCTTTACAAAATGTTTTACAGAAATATATTTTGGCCCACTTTGCCAGTATTATTTCACCTTTTACCATTACTTCATTATCTTTTATTAAAACTAAATTTAAAAGATGAAAAATGTATGGTGGCAAAATCTCAAATTAAAATTTCCTACTTAAAAAACTAACAGGTACATTTTAAAATGAAAAAAAAACCTTATCGCCATTAATAATGTCATTAAATAAAGAAAAGGTGATGTAGTTCTAAATACAGTCTTACTACAAATTAATAAAACATACAACACAGAACTATAACACATATAAAGCACTATGGGTGAATACCAGGCAACACTTACTCAATTAAAAGAGAATTAGCCTTAGAAGCATCACAGATACAGAACTTTTGCCATCTTAAAAATAAATGCACACAAAAGACAAAACAAATTACTTTTAGCATGTTAAAAAATCACATCAAAAAAGCATACAAGTAAAAAATGTCATAGATGACATAAGAAAATAGTATGCGTGTGTATATATATATTTTGCGCATATATATAAATCTACAGTATTTACCATTGTTGATATATATTTTGGAGCAGCTCAGATGCTACTATCATAAACTAAATTGTACAGCTTGGTTTATTACAAGTCACAGAAACAGTTTAAAAATTGGACTTAATATAATCTGCTATATTTTTATATACATTTATTTCTCAGCTTCCACATGATCTAAATCAAGAGCCCAGTTATTTTATCAGCATTCTGGGTTTCAGTGTAGTGTTTAGCTTTAATACACTGCATTTGATTTGCCATTAGTAACATCATTAGAAGTTGACTAAAATTATAGTAGACTATATACATAAAAATATTCTCACATTCACTAGCTAAATAAATGTTACTTCCATTTTAACACATACTTTTGTACCTCAAAAGCTTACAGCCCCAACTTGCAACAGGAAGAACCATCAATGTCAGATCATCTACTTTCAGTTACGCAAATATGAGCAAAGTAATGCTGGAATAAGCATTCCCCTCCAACACACTGTCCTACTTCGTTGGAGTGTCCAGAACTTCGCCAGTGTTTGCTAACTGTAGTGTAATAGAATATTTTTAAAGACAGCACTGATTTTTTTTTAACTATAAACCTGAAAAAGGAGAAAAGATCTTTGAAAGTATAAAAGTCACACAGTATTTTAAAAGGGTCAAAATTCTAGACTCCTATTAATAATTAGGGTTTTTTTTTTTTACAATTTTAACATGGATAAACAATGTAAAGGCCTGGTATGAGCAGCAATATCAAGCTGACTACATTTCTAAAGAGCGTCAGAAATGGGTCAGGTAACAACTGCCTGGGCCGTGGGCGACAGGCGCCACAGGACGAAGGGGCAGGGTTGGGGGGCCACGCTGCCAACCCCGCGCCCGCACAGCCGCCCCCCAGTCAGCTGCAGCCTTCCCTGCAGAGCTCCAGTGCTGGGCAGCGACGGCTCCCTGGCTTCCCAGCCGGCACAGAGCGCGGAAGCACTGCAGCTGGTCTGGGTAAGGGTACAGCAAGCGCTGCGCCTCTGCCCTGACTGCCCCAATTTTTAAGCACCATTGAGTGGTTAGCTTTTCTCGCCAATGTCTTTAATTTTCCGATTGAAAGAAAATGGCAGCAGCTGAAGGAGAAGGATGAGCACTTGCTGAGATGCATTAATGAAGTCAGGGCAAATTTTTAATCAGGTTAGGTTTTGGGTTAAAAATATGAAGGGGACAAAACTGGACTGAAAGATAAGGAAAAGAAGAGTAAATTCATGGATCTAGATTGAAAATAGCTTAAAAAAAATTTCAATTCTGTGCTCAAGTGTGTACGTATAGATGATTATAATAGCTATTAAAAGACACATACACCACATAGAGCCTTAAAAATATCTGACAATTTTCCAATGCTTTATAACATTGGTCAAAACAGAATGGGCCAACCGAGTAAAAACGTCCAGGGTGGAAGAATGTAAATGAAACTGAGCAAAGAATCATCAGTGTGTGAATCCCTAAATGCTATTGCTATGTTTCCAGGTTACATTTTTAGAGGTTCAGTGATGACACAATTTAAAATGCTCATCTTAAGCAGCATCTACATGGGAATGAAAATGTTTCTATATATTCTTATCACTAATACACGTTAGAATTGTGCGAGTTGTTCACAATAATATAAAATACTGCTTTGGCAATTAAAACATAGCAATGTAGGTTTCATATGGTTTGTATTCTCTTGTCTTTAGTAAAGATAAATTCTCACAGCAATACTGACTCTTGAACAGAGATTCCCTCCCGATTTCTGTAGTGGTATGCGGGAGGCGAGGGCCCTGCATATTGATACCCGGCTGGACTGGCATCTTCTACAGCTGAAGTTTTATACCGCACTGGGCTATCCACTGAAACTGCTGGCAGGTTATGGTCCTGAAAGGGCATGTGCTGAAAGGCTGAGTATTTTGGTAAATTGCTGAAGTGGCTGCGATTAGTATCACCAGTCCATGACTGCCCATGCATCTCCGGTCTGTACGTATAACCAACTTCCGACCATTTTCTGTTATCTGGTAAATAATCTACTGGAGGAATGATGAATTTACCATTCTTTGGTGACCCTGAATTGCCCGAGTACCCTGCAGCACCAATACCAACAGGAAGGACTTCTATTCGACTAGATGGTAGTACAAGAGGGGCTGGGCGGCTGTACGATTTCTCTGGAGAAATATCAACCGAAAGCGTAGAACCACAAGGTCTCCTGGAAGGATTCATCTGAGTTCCAGGACTAATCTGTGGAGACACAAAGCTGTTAGGAGGAGGGAGGTGCTTCGGAGAGCTTCCGTGGTAAACAGGGGGATTGCTGTAGGATGGAGGTTGCATGGTCCCTTGATCTTCCCCTTCTAAATGAGATGGGTACTTCCCATAGCTTGGAGGCTGGACTTTAAAAGTAAACTTGTTGGACACTTTTGGTGGGCTACACCCTGGCTCAGCGTGCTTCCTTGGGCTGTTAGAGATGACGTTCCTTGGACTCTGAGCGTAGGCCCTCTCGAGGGCCTCTTCCACAGAAGCGCCGTTCTCGTTTTCGCTCCCAGGCACGTTATCGTACTGGGATGCGTTAGAGCCCCGCTTCCCATCATCACCATCCCAGACCTTCATCTTCTGCTTTGCATTTGCTACTCGAGCGTCAGCAGAACTTGGAATGGAGGCTGTGAGTGCAGGGTGCACTGATCTGCCTCTGCCTTCCACGACATGCCTGGCAGTTCTTTCCACAGCTGAAATATCCGATGGTTTATTCCATCTGGGCATAAATTCCTTCCTGATATGTGAAGTAGCATTGCTATTTTGGTTAGCAGCTGCGTGGTTATAGGGCTTGGAAGTGTCTTGTGGACCTGATGAACGTTTTCTTTGAAAATTCTCCTCGTCTCTAAGAGTTTTGCTCTCTTCATCCACTGATTTCTGTCTGAGCTGCCGCACTCGTTCTGGTGTACCAGTCTTACTTTGATGGTGGGGTGAGGGCTCATGCCATCTGTGAGAACCAGCTTCTCTTCTGCTGTTTATGTGCGGACTGGGCCTGCCCACACTTCTTTGCCCATTGCTCATGTGATTGATAGCACAAGAATGAAAGTCAGGTGGAAGCTGTCCCAAAGGTTTCTTTGGATATTCGTCCTCTTTACCTAAAGGAGGAAACAAATGAGTACGTAAAATAAATGCTGAGTAAACAGTGCACAAACCAGACACGCTGTTACTGTGAGAACGGGAGGGAATGGACAACGTCCCTGCATCTTTCCAGAATAGACAGACCACAGCGGAAAAGTTCATTCAAATTCTAACTCAAACTCTAAACATGCTCGCCATCATGGAAACTCTCCTTGCTTTCTGAACACTACATGAAATGACTATTACCAGCCTAGTTTCTGACTAGTCATCATATAAAATACATGGGCAAAGAAAGTTGACTTAAATGTAGCCCATGTCAAGGATATTCACAAGTAGTTATTTAGCTCATTAGGTTAAAAACTAATAAGCAGTAAAAATAAAGCTCAGCTAGTACCTTCAAAAGGTTTTTTAATCACCCCTACAAATAATGACCAATTTATTTTCATATAAATATGTTAATTCATTCTTCCCTGTTGGCAATAACCCCAACAAACAGAAATTATGAAGACTAAAAAAGATGTAGCGGAGGGCTAGAGGTGTGGCTTGGTGGGAGGAGGTCTTGTCTAGTACGCGTGAGGCCCTGGGCTTAACCCTCCACACCACAACAGAAGAGCCTGTGAAGAAGAAAACCTGAATGCACGCACCTTCCCGTAGTCCTCTTTCCCTCACACAAGGGCAGGAGCCAGTCATCTGACTGGTGAATGCACTGGCTGGTTGATTTCCATCAGGTATTAGTAACAGCTCACCATCAAAATGCCCCTTTCAAGCTGGCAAGTAGGAACCTTATAAAAACGCACCATTTAAAAGCAAAGAGGAGGGGCTGGGGATTTAGCTCAGCGGCAAAGCGCCTGCCTGGCAAGCGCAAGGTCGTGAGTTCGGTTCCCGGTACCAGAGGAAAAAAAAAAAAAAAGAAAGACATTAAAAGCAAAGAGGAACTGTGGCACAAGCAGCGGCCAGTTCTTGCCTGCAAGACGTGCTGCTCAGGAAGAAAACCCCCCTCTCCACTCCAGGGCTCTTGCCAGCCTGCAGAGAGGGCTACCAACTTGTAATGCATAGGAAACTATGTTAAACGATTGTAGAAATCCTCCACAGCAGTATTTAAACAAAAGCAAAAGCAGAACAGATCTGAAACAGAACCACTGGTGAGTGTGCTCTCCCTGGAACAGCACACTCCGGCGGTGCTGAGCAGGCTCCAGCGTCCTGCAGGTGCTCGGTGTGCTGCCAATGCTTCCGTGTGGGTCAGCTCAGTTCATGAAAACTCAATGCACCTGAAAGTGGGCAAGGGCCGCCACCCTGAGCTCTACATCCTAAATCTCGAAACTGGTTTAATAAAAAACAAATCTTATTGAGTGCATTTTCCGTTAGCAAAAGGCCACCTGTTTTATTAGCTATCATGTACTCTTATGGTTCCAGCACACTTTTAATGCCAACAATGTAAATCAAATCGACTGTAGTAATTAAAACCTATTTTATGTAATCACATCAAGTAGACAACTAAACAAAGAAAACGTGGAAGGTAGGCCTAGGCAGTGACAACCCCATGGAAGCATCTAGAATTCCTACTTCACGGATCCCTGAATATCATTTTCTGTGTCTTCTGGTCCATCTTAAGGCTGGGAGTGGTCAATCTGACCTTGGCTTCCAAAGTGCTTCCACAGATGTTCTAGCTACTTACTAACAGTGATAAAAAGTGAAGCCATGATTGGTGACCATCTTCTTTGCTTTCTAAGTGCTCAAAATCCATTTCTCAGTTAACCCATTTGTTGATTTTTGCCTTAGATAGATATCACATCTACCTGTCTGGGGTTTATATAATCAAGCCTTTGTTCCTCTTCCAAAGTGGAATTACATTTCTTTCATCTGCATCCTCTAAACTGCAATGTCTCAAAGATGCCCATCACATGCTCTCATTTAAAACAGCTAGTACAATGGGATGTTCCGGAAGACCTCACACGCTCATCCAGTGAAGCAGCCCATCCCTTGGCCACACCGTGGCTCGCACAGCTTCACATTTCTTCCAACAGTACTTACTCAGATACGCCACTCGCTCGCTCCACAGCCTCCTTCTTCCCCACTGGAAAGCCGGGCGCACATAACGAATACTACTGCCCACCCTCCCCTTGGTTCCTCTTCTTCAGGCAGAGCCACTGGCTGCCAGTTACACAGTGAGACAGGAGGACAGGTAAAGAAGGCAGAAGGAGGGCTTAACAAAGACCCGCTGTAGTGGAAGAGATTTAAATGAAAAAAGAAAAATACAGAACAAAATCTTCAGAGTGGGGTGAAAAGAAGGTGGGGAATAAGTCCGAGAGAGCACCACAGGCTGTCCCTGTGTTAGAACATCCAGACTTTTCACTCTGGCATCTTTTAGGAAAGGCACATATCAGCAAAAACGCAACAGGACATGGAGTAACATGTGAGACTATGGGGGCAATGTATGTATTTCTCAGGAGAGGGCATTTAGAAATCGAGAAGTAATGGAAAAAACGATGCAATTTCAGGTGCAAAATAAAATGCAAGGCATGTGGGAGACTTAATTATTCAATATAAAGGACAAAACTGTATTTTCCTTTACATAATATTGTTTTATATTCAAGTAGACACAAATCTTTCTCTAAGGAAGAGTAATTAATATTCTGTATATCTATACATCATATGAGAACTAAGAGAAAAGTTTAACATGTTCCATTTACTGAATGGACCAAAAAGCTAAAGTGTGCAGTGGCAAACAAACAAAACCCCTGCGCCTGCTCTAAATCTGCCAAGGGGCATCTCAGTCCTTCTTAACTGTATTGTCCGTTCCTCCTAGTAGACTATCACCTACTTAACCGACTTGACTTTTCTCGTGCATTGCCTGCCACACTGTAGAAATAATGGCAAGAATGACAAGGAAGGTGGCGACAAGCCTCCGTTCCCATTTCACTCACGAGTTACAGTAACGACGCACTGCCCGCACCGGCAGGGTAGAAACATGATGGCCACACACCCAAGCAGTTAAGAAACTGGATGTGGCAGGGTTTGCGTGCGTGGGACCTAGTACAGACAGAAGGACGTTAAATCTAATGGAACCTCTCATCACGCGCCTGCGTGTAAGAAGTACCCACCCCTCAAATGCACAAAGCCTCGTGGAAGCCATGTCCTCGTTAGCCCCCTCCCCTGAGCAAAGCTCTTCAGTAAGGCGAGAGGAAGGTAATGGACAGGGATAAAGAAAGGGCCTCCTAAAATACAAAGAGCTTTACAGAACCGAACATTAGGAGAGCCAACAAGTCCGGCCAGTGGTGGTGCACAGAGGCGAAGGGACCTCGCAGGTGCCAGGGCCAGAGGAAGCGCTGAGGTTTGCCTAGTTTTAGTGTCAGCTTCCTCCGACCTCCCACAGTGACCTGTGACCAGGGAGCACGGTACACGCAGACCCACGCAATGACACGTGGCTTGTGAGGCAGCGCCAACCTCCTCCTTCCCGGACACTCACTGTTCACGCTGCTGGAATGCACCACAGGCAAGCCGCTAACTGGCCCGATACCTCTGGAGAGCACAGTTCTCAGCAACCCCACAGTGATCACACACGACAAACTATGCTGCCTGCCTCTCAAAGAGAGGCCTAAGGGCCCTCCGGCAACACCTGAGGGAGGGGTGAGAAGGAAGGGACTGAGACAGCCAAGAGCGCAGGCGGAAGCCATGAGAGACGAACCAAGGGGAACACACCGGGGGTCCCGGTGACCACACACGACAGAGGACCAGAAGGGAAGGAGAGCAGAGTGCAGTGAGAACTGCGAAGGCAAAGGCGGAGGTGGCCACCAGGAAGCTAAGGGCAGGGTGTCTCCCCGACCCTTGTCAGAGTGGGGACCGGCTCAGATTCACTAGGGCTGAACCAGGAAGAGGCCTCTCCGTGCCAAACACGGTGCCGAAGCTCAAGCCCCCTGTGGCCGAGCACCTAACTTTATAAAATTATAAACTGAAGAGGAAAAGTCTACTTGACTCCTTTATAAAGGTGTTTTCTATTTGAAGATTACTCAACATTACTGAACTAAATACTGTGTAGATCCTGTAAGAAGAAATGCCACACTAGTAATAGTTCCTATGTTAATGAATATTCTCTGCTTTTTTTCTTTTAAAAGTAGATCCAAATAAAGCATTAATCATTTTGGTATAATCTCTTTTAGAGCTACTGCAACCTATCGAAACCACACACACACACACACACACACACACACACACACACACACACACTGCCATACTCGGGGCTTGTTGGTTTACCTGTCTTCTGTGACCTATAAGCAACTAACTGGAACTGAAGATGGAAGGATGAGGCACGTCAGACCAGACAGCTCCACATACGCCATCAGTATCACTATTTATTATCCATGCTTCAGCCTGGCTTCTCTTCAGCACACATTATCATGTTACTCACTCTACCAATATTTTTGCTCAGCTTCTTGTCTGAAATTTCACCCTCTCTTTCTTCTTCATGAACAAGCGAGAGTTGAAGAATCAGCGCACTAATTAAGGAATCCCTGCCTATCTATCACATTTACCAGGGGAGGTTTTTGCAAAGATAATACATTAACAATGTTTTCACCAATGTTCAGTCTTGTAAGTGGCAAATACTGTATTCTTGGCAGTGCTAACAATTTAAAATAATGGCAACAATTTTCATTCATTTTTTGCTTTAAAAAAAAAGGCCAAAAAATGACTATTCTAACAAACAGTCAAAAGATAATGGGCCCTCTTAAATCCCGTCAGGCCTGTCCACCCCTGGTCTTTCTCAGGTCTCTGTCACCACCCAGTGGACAGCACACTCAACTACATGACTCACAGATTCAGCAGCTACCTGCACCCAACAAGACAGGTCTGATTACACAAACTGCCCTGAGTGCCTTCCCTTAGGCGTGAATTCTACTTTTAAATAGCAGCAACATATGTACTTTGGCGGTTCCAATAATTTTCAGTAAAATATGGTGAGGGGCTGCTGCTGGGAAAATTATTCCATTATTCTGGGAAAGTGTTATCCTACCCACTTCCAGATCAAATATTAAGTCCAACTGAGTTTTAAAATATTTTTACAAAATTACTGATTTCAAATACAGTATGTATCTTAAAAATAAAAAGATTTTTATTTCTGTTGGATATACCATTAGCCAGAGAATACACAATTCAAATATTACAAGCTTGATCTAAATAGTTTGCTTTCTAAATTTTAGCTGTAATTTTAAAAAGTTATTGTAGTTAGTCTCATAGACTTGACTATGAGCAGATTAAATTTGAAAGATGAAGTACAAAAGAGACAACTAAACACATTTCTCACTAGAAATATATATGTGTGTGTGTGTGTGTGTTCGTGTTCAATACATCTTTGGGAAATAATTTTAAAAACCTTAACTTCCAGGTACCTCCCTTCCTAGAGTTTCAATTCACACATGTAAAAATCATTGAGTGCATGGAACATCAATCTGTATTATTTAAACAAAAGTTAGAACTCATTCAAACCCTCAAAAAGTGGGATTTTTAAAACATACAACAAAACTGACTTGTTTGTATATGCAAACATGATGCAGAATGGTTCATCACCCCCCAAAGTACTTCGTGCTAACCTTTTGTAGACAGTAGATTTTATTATTTAAAAAGATGTAAGTTCATTCACTTAAAAAAATTACTAATTACTAGGGCTGAGGATGCAACTCAATGGTAGAACACTTGCCTAACATGTACAAGGTCCTGGGTTTGGTTCCAACACCGTGAAAGAAAATAAGACAACCACCAAGAAAGACTGAATGTCTGCTAGGGCCCAGGCCCTGTATCAATGTTGGTGATGCTGAAATGTCGTTCCTGGCCTCCAGAAACTTATTCTATCCAGAGATACACAAATTAAGACAAGGGCCAAGTGCTGGAAGTATGAAGACAGAATCATGCACAGGAGTTCTGATCAGGCACAAAATCAAGACACCTACATAAACATGTGAGTAGAAATTGGCTTTGGAGATGCTGGGGACTGGCTGAGAAGGCTTCAGGGAGCTGGTGATTAAGCTATGTCGTGGAAATTAAAGTAGATGAGGACAGAGGCAGACATGAATGTTCAGGCATTCTTGTGGAGAAGGACACTCAAAGGCACACCGCACCCCGCTGCACCCCTGCTAAACTGTGACCTGAACCTAGCAGTAGCGGTATAATGCATAGCACTGGCTTTGGAATCACACCTGGGGTCAGCCAAAAGCTTATCACTTACCACCTGCATGATCTTGGGCAGGTCCTTAACCCTGAAGCCCAAGTTTCCTCCATCTATATGCAATTAACAATACTGGTGGCAGAATGGAAATGAAAATTATGCAAAATTAAAATGCTATTTAATGCAAGAATTATGGCCCTCTCAAATAAGAAACAAAAGAAAAAAGCAGTCAATTTCATTAAGTTCAAAGATCCTCAGAGTCAAAGGTACAGATAAAAGACCAAAGAAATGCAATATCCACCTCTCACAGGTGGGAAAATGCAGTTTTCCTTGGGAAGAAAGAACTGAGGTTCTGGGCCAGTATTACCTGTGGTGCCTGGGCTACATGACACAATCCTCTAAAGGGCACCAACCTCGACACACACAAAGCTCTGCAGCTGGACACCTGGGCTCACTGTCAAGAGCTCAGCTGGAGTTCTCGCTTGCAGCTCACCTCATGACCCTAAAATTTAACTGAAAAAATTTTTTCCAATTCCTGAAGATCTAGGACTAATTATGGGAAAGTTTAAGAGGATAAAATATAATAATTTTGTATTTTTTTGCAGTAAGGAATCTGTTTATTATTACTATTTTATGTACATTACATTCAGAGGTAAGAGAATCTGGCTATAGTTGACATGCCAGTCTGAAACATATACATGAGTCAGGCTTGAACTTCAGATTTTAAACTTGTGAATAGCAATGTAGTGGCTTAGTGAGATGCCCTCCCTCTCTCCTCCCTCTCCTGCCTTTCCTCCCTCTCCTCCCTCCCTCCCTTCCTCCCTCCCTCTCTCTCTCTCAACAGTCTCATTAGCGCCCTCCAACTCCCAGGCTCAAGTTATTTTCCTCTTTCCATAGGTGTATACCACAGAGCCTGACCCATATATATTCTTAGAAGCACAAAGACATTGAAATTTTTTGGTATAAAGTTCATTTAATTGTCTTAAGGTTCCAAATGTAGCTCATAATCTGGGCAATCCAAGAACTGTCCCCTCAGAACCCCCAAAAGTAAAGGCTCGGCGGCAGGTAAGGAGGTAATGTAAGTGGGGTTCTGGTACTTACTTACCTGCCCCTTCCCCCCTTCCTCCTCCCTGCTCTCCAAACCCATTCTGTCACTTCCTAGGGAAAAGATCATATTAAGGCTCAACAGTTTTTCTTAGAATTATTTTCAAGGATTAAATGGAAAAGTGTCTGTAGCACATGGCATATAGTAAACCATTAAAAAAACCTACCAACTGCTAATTAGATGCGAAATCATTATCATCCCATTCCATTAAATAGGTCTCAAACTTTAATCTCAAGTTCAAATAGTTCTACAATATATGTATTTTTCTTTACATGTGTCTTTTACTAAATTGCCTTAAACACCTTTAAAAAGTAGGCAGAACATTTTAAAATAAATGTTACAATAGCAAGAATTTAGTAACTGCTCTTCCAAATGCATTTCTTGGTACAGGACAGAATGGGTAGAAAATACACACCATTATATTGAGCAAGGAAGGACTGACCTCACTTAGCACAGGCAATGGTTTTACAAGACTGCTCCAACTCAATCAGTGCCATGAGGGGTTGTTTTCTAGTCCATCCTGATTACCCCAAATGTCAGAGCAGTGCTGATTAAACCCCCTCAGTAAAATAAATGAAGCAGAGCATGTTGGTTTTTACTGAAGGAATAAAAGTATTTTTCTTGAGTATAATTCTGCTTTCCTTCCATATAGGTATATCCAAGATGACACATGGGTCAGGATGTGTCAAACCCACCTCTACCTCAGGGCATAAATAACAGACTTTTTCTACCTTTTTCACCCACAATCTGTTCAATTCTCTTGCCTCTAACCATCCCATCCACTGCTACAGAAGTAAAAAAGGCAAAAATAACATCTTGAGATATCATACTCTGCCAAATAATATTGGATCAAAACTCCTACAAGTTACCCTTAGTGTGACCGTTCTGTATTTTTTCTCCCTTCCTTTCTCTGCTACCTGTCTTCTCTACACATTTCTTGCATCTAGCTCCATTACTGACCCATTCCCACTAGGCCTGTTATCATCCGTGTGCACTCCACTTCCGTGTGTGCATCCTGAGAGCAAGAAACATGGCCTTCTCTCCTGTTTCTTATTCACAGAACTTATCAGAAAGCCAACTAGCAGTACTGAAAAATGCATGGAAGTAAATAAAATATACTGTCCACACTGCAATCTACTGCAGAGCCCTGGAATGTTACTAGAAAGACCGACCTTGCTGGGTGTGGTGGCACACGCCTGTGATCTAAGCGCTGAGGCAGGAGGGTCACTGTGAGTTTGAGGCCAGCCTGGGTTACAGAGTGACTACATAGCGAGACTCTATTTCAAAAAACCAGAAAAACGAAAACCAAACCCTGAATTCTACTGTCAGTAATGATACTTGGTGGTTCTGTAGCTTCACAGTTAAGTGTCAGTTTCCTCATCTACGAAGTGGGGCTTTACTTGTTCTACTATTGTACATGGTTCCAGAAAATGAGATGATGAAAGAGGCCTTACTGTTCTGCTATTAAGTAACACCATGGTTACTTCTAGGTAACAGTTATTATTCACCAATCAAATTTCAAAATTTGAGTAGGAATATCATAGTTTTTCTATGAAAAGATTTAGTTAATATGTTTATCTGCTTTTTCTTAAGAAAAGCTTTAAGTAGTGCTAAGATATTAATTTCTATTATACCATCACAAGTGTAATGCTAATGCTTTGAAAAACACCCATGTTAATTATACCATGTCTTCCAATCTTAATTGTAATTCCAAGTATAGACATATTTCTTACCAGGTTCTGGGAGATCTAACTTTGCTCGCTTTAATTCTGTCATAGAAATCTGAAGTTGCTCTATTACAAAATCATCTTCAAAGAAAAAGTCCTTTGCTAGAGTCTCCTGAAGAAATTCTACAAGTTCTTCCATAGACAATTTCATCAGATGTTCTAAGAAAAGATGAGAGAAATACAGATGTTGAGTCAAAAACTACTTTGGGTTGAAACAGAGAATGTATTTTGAGTACTTCTTAAACGTGGCTTTAAAAGAACATATAATTAAACACAGCATTGTGAATACGACTGATACTCAAGGAGACAAACCCCATCTGATATTAAAACAGTCACGTAAAAGCAGATTCCTGTGGGAGGGGAAAATGGGGAGGGGAAAATATAGCCTAATATTTTTTATTGGCTTAAGGGTAGCCATATCTAGGCACTGGTATAACCCAGATCACCAGCTTCATACAGACAATAAACACAGAAAGCCAGGAAGACATGAGGCCTTTCCTCTTGATTCAAATTCCAATGGCCGTAGGTTAAATCATTTTTAAGTCCATATTTATTAGTGTTTCCAAATTTTCCCAGGAATGGATTATTAATTTTATTTTTGAGTTTTATATATACTTATAAAATGAATTTTATTAGAAAAAACTTCAAACAACAGACATAAAGCAGAAAGTAAGTATCTGTTAAGACCATACTACTCAGTACCCTACAAGTAGGTGTGTATATTCCTGTGTATATATGAATGTACAGAACCAAATTATACAAGTTACCCATCTTCTTGCCTTTGTTCTCATACAATATCACTGTTATCTCTCACTTCAACAAATATGATTTTATATCACCATCAATAATGACATCATGGTATAATGTATGCATTACAATTTGCTTAATTAGTCATTTAACAATGGCCATTTAGATGGCTTCTCATTTTTTAAACTACTATATTTAAAATCACTTTTTGATGAAACTCCAGCAATCATGTCTCTAAATATTTTTAAGGCAATCAAGGAGGGAGAAAGAAAGAAAGAAAAAGAGAGAGAAAGGAGAGAG